CAGTTTTGAGCCAAATCCAGGAATTAATTAGTTTAAAAATACGTAATTTCATGCCCGGACTTCTCTCTATGTACCATATTATTTTGAGCTCATTATCATTTAAAGTCGTTCAGCTAATTAGCATATACTACTCTCTCTCAAGTTCAGATTCTCCATTATATTCTTCATTTTTATTTTCACACAGTTTTGCGCGAGAATAACAAGATCTATCGACCGAAGGTCGATTACTATTGAACTGTCTAGAATTGCTCAACCAGTTTCGTCGCACTCCTCACACAAATATTTTTGTCTGCTTGAGTGCAGATTGTTGGTATCATAGCAGACTTTATCCATAATGCTCTAGACACAATAGTAAAGTATAGCTCAATAACTGACTTTTTTAAAAAAAAACTTTGTTTTAAAAATCACTCGAAAACTGACGGTTTTTGGGGCGCTTAACGATTTTTCAGTTTTTCGAGCTTTTTGGCCTTTAAACTTCGTTCGCAGCACCTAGTGATGTATCTCTTAAAGATATACATTGTTGTATTTATGTCAGTAGAGGATGACGGAGTTTGATTAACATGAAGTTCATTAGGTTTTTAATGAAATTGGGTCACCGGCGGTTGGAGGAGACATTTTATTGAAAGTATCGAAAGTTTTAATGAAAATTCATTGAAAACATTTTTAATGAATGTCAACCAATCTACCAGTAGTCTGTGATCTACTAATGAATGACGTGATCATTATTTTTATGACGTATTTGTCGCCATATTTCCATTAATTCTTTACGGTATAAACTTGAGCTCAACATATAAACATAGAAGCTAGTGCAATAACTGAACAATAGTACAATACTTGCTGTTTTAAATATAAACATAAATAGAGCCGATGGTGATTGAATAATTGTCGATATAAGCCACATAATCATTGACATAGTAACTGATCCAATATAGGATAATATTTGAAATATTAACATTCGAAATAGTTGACCATTTATTCGTCATCTCCTCGATGATGGCAATATCTCGGCATAACTCGTTGATGATTTTGTTTAATATTCCATATTGTTAATAAACCAAATATTGTCATCATTAACGGAGGTATAATAGCAAAAAAGATTAACAGAAAACAACTAAGTATTTGATAGAATAATGCACTTTGTGGTCCACAGACATTATTTAATGGTCCAGTACCCATAAAGATTAAAATACGACTCTCCACAATTAGGAAGAAACTAAATGTTAGTGGTATAACACGACGAACAACGTGTAAGTCACAAAATTTACGTAGACGAGCACTTGGTGAGCTTGAACAATAACGATCAAATGATGCCCAGATAATAAAATAAGGTGAACTTATATAAAAAACATATGAAAAGTACTGTTTCACTTTGCACAGGATTAGAGATGATTCTGTGGGACCTAGGGAATACCCCTCGGCTAGTAAATCGAGTAGAATAGAGCAACCGATGACAATTAGGCATGCAACGGTTACGGTTATTAACCGTTTAACCGTAACCGTAATAACTGGTCAAACGGTTAACCGTAACCGTAAATAACCGGTCAAACGATTAACCGTAACCGTAATAACCGGTCAAACGATTAACCGTAACCGTAATAACCGGTCGAACGGTTAACCGTAACCGTAAATAACCGCTTCATAACAGCTTCGTGTACTGATTGTAGAAAAATAAAGAATAATTTATTTGGAAAGAAAGAATAGTATATA